GCATGCGCTGTGCCACGAGGTGACCAATGGTCCCTATGGTGTTGCGCAGACTGAATGGGAATGCTGTCGGGGCATCCCGGGTGAGGTATTCCGGGGAGAGCGGTTCTCTCCTAGCAAGCTACGTCATGACATTGGCGAATGAGAAGGTGAGGTGGTGTAGGTCATCCAGGGACAGTCGGGGTCCTAGGAAGGTGTTGAGCCGACGCTCCAGCCTTTGGTAATCGAAACCGAGGAGCTGGTAGCTCTTAGGGGCACGAGCCTCTAGGGCGTGCAGCCGCAGCTCCTCGAGGGCCTCTACTATCGCGTTGAGGCCGGTGGAGTGAAGGACTTGGCCAGGAGAGGGAGCCCACGCCAGCTCTCCCTCCTCGGTGATGAGGAAATTTAGGCTCCCAAAGCGCACGTGAGTGCCCAGGACCCAGCTAACGCCGTGGCTAACCATCCATGGCCGGTAGTTGTCGACGAGATGCACAAAAGGCCCCTACCTGGTATGCCAACTATCGGTGTTTCAAATCACCGGCTAGTAAATTTTTTTGATTTGCGCGTCTGACCCAGATGGCTGTGCTCGGAGGACACAAGGATTTATAGTGGTTCGGGCTGAATGTCCCTACGTCCAGTTTGCTGCTGCTCGTGTTACCGGCACTGGTTTGTAGTAGGGGTTACAAACAGGCGAGACAGGGAGTGGATCCCAAGTCTCTAGTGGAAAAATCAAATGGGGTTGATGCTGAGATGTTTAGGTGTTATCTCCTATCGTCTCCTGGAAGCCTCCCCTTCCGGGGGTGTCCTGCTTCCTCTTTTATAGATGTAGGGGAAGATACAGGTTACACGAGAGAGAGAGAGAGATAAGCGAGAGGGAAGAAGGCTTCCGGCATCATGGCACCCTTCGTTTCCTTCATGCGGGTCCTGCCGACCCTGTAGATCACGATGGGGATGGCACCATGTCGTTACTCTGTTCATCACTGGCGTTGTACGCTGATGTCGTCAGCTAGTCGTGGCGCTCCATCCCGTGCGGCGGGTGACATGGTTAACGGACACCCTCGCCGGAGGCCATACGGGGATTAGGTAGCACAGCACCAGCACGCCCGACGCTGTTGGCGATGTGTGTCCTTAAGTATGGCCTGTTGTGGCTACAGGTCATGTCAGGATGTGCCTACTCCCTTTCCGGTGTCTGGAGTTTGACCCAGGATCCGTGCTCTAAGACCCATAGTGGTTGGGGGTGGTACGGACCCCATCGAGCGAGGTAGAGTCCCCCTTCGAGGGGTCTGGGTGTAAGGTTGAGATAACGGACTAGAGGGGGGGTGAATAGTCCTTTCTAAAATTAATCGCGTCGGCTAACCAAAACAAGTGCGGAATTAAAACTATCGGTCTAGCCAAGACTACACCCGTCTATCTATGTTCTCTAGCACCTTCCAAGGATACTAATTAAGCAACAAGGGTGCCGGGCTAGCTAGAGCTCACCTAACCAATTCTAGAAGCAAGGTCACACAAACCTATGTCACTAGTACTTTAAGCAACAAGGGAGCTCCTACACATGCTAGTAAGCAAAAGCATAAAGCCACCTAATGCTCACTAACAATGCTCAATAACAAGGAAACCAATGCCAAATTAGAGAGCGCAATTACTTAGCTACACAAACTAAGCAATGTGACTAACAAGATTACACACACCAAATTAGCCACGCAAGGGAGCTACTTCTATGCTACACAAGCAAGAAGGTAACTAGTAAGCTACACAAGCTAACTAATTACAAGAGCAACTACACAAGCACAATGTACATGAAAAATAAATACAAGCTTGTGAAAGGGGATTGCAAACCAACGGGAAAAACAAGGTTGACACGGTGATTTTTCTCCCGAGGTTCACGTGCTTGCCAACACGCTAGTCCCCGTTGTGTCGACCGCTCACTTGGTGGTTCGGCGGCTAATTGGCATCACCCGGCAAGCCCGCATGTCGGGCACCGCAAGAACCTACCCCAAAAGTGAGGGTAACTCAATGACATGCCCAACTAGAGTTGCTCTTCGTGGCTCCCGCGGGACGAGCACAATACCCCTCACAAAGCTCTTCTCCGGAGCACCGCACAAGCAACTTGCGGGCTTCGACAGAGACCACCACCAAGCCATCTAAGAGGTGGCAACCTCCAAGAGTAACAAGCACCACCGGCTTGCAACTCAATCACCTAGTGCCACTCGATGCAATCGCACTAGAATCGCTCTCTCACATAATCGGATGATCACTATCAAGCATATGTGAGATGGAGGGCTCCCAAGCACTACCACACAAGCCACCAAGGCTCTAGTGTGCTCAGCTACCGGCCCAAGGCCGACCATGGCTTCTATTTATAACCCCACGAACAAATAGAGCCGTTACCCCTTCACTGGGCAAAAGTCAGGCCGACCGGACGCTCCGGTCCTGTTGACCGGACGCTGGACCTCAGCGTCCGATCGCTCGATGACAGCCACATGTCACCTGCTTCAAATATAGTACGCCCGATCTCAACGGTCATATGATGACTGGACGCTGCAGCATGAACTGACTGGACACAGCAACCCCAGCGTCCGATCATTTCGAGTAAGGTACCGGACATGACCGGACGCGTCCGGTCGGTCGCGATCGAACGCAGCACCAGCGTCCAGTCACTCTCCAGCTTCTCTGCTCTACCTGTGTCATCATACGTCACCTTGACCGGATGCACATAGCCAGCGTCCGGTCACTGCGTGACCAGAGTCCGGTCCACTCTGTGGGACCTTTCTCACCTCCGTTTCATCACCGAGTTGATCCACATCAACTCCAACTTCATCTCCCTTGTAAATGTGCCAACACCACCAAGTGTACACCACCATGTGTATGTGTGTTAGCTTTTCACAATTATTTTCCAAAGGATTAGCCACTCAACTTGCCACGCCACTTAATCCTAGCGACGATGCAAAGTTAGATCACTTGAGTGGCACTAGATGACCGATATGCAAACAAGTTTGCCCCTCTTAATAGTACGGCCATCTATCCTAAACCCGGTCATCAACTTCTCTACACACCTATGACCGATGAAATGAAATGCCCTAGGTCATACCTTTGCCTTGCGCATTCCATTCCATCTCCTCCAATGTTGATGCAACACATGCACCAACATGATCAACAATGATATGATCCACTTCATATCATCACGTGGTCATATTGGTTCATCGATCTTGACCTCACTTGCTTTTCACCATTGTCTTCGTCCATCGGCGCCAAGTCTTGCTCAAGCTTCACCGACACACGGTCCATCGCTCCAAAGCCTCCAACTTGCCCTTCACGCTTGCAACCGGTCCATCAAGCCAAGTCATGTCTTGATCTTCTCCATCTTGATCACATGACTCAATGTCATGTCTCATTTGCAATGAGCTCCTTCATCATCACATGTGTGAGCTTTGCAACATCTCTAAGCCATTTTCACCTTCATGGCATATGTTGCTCACACACATGTACCTGTGGACTAATCACATGTGTATCTCACATAAACATAATTAGTCCACCTAGGTTGTCACTCAATTACCAAAACCACACAAGGACCTTTCACTAGAAAGCGAAGTCTCTGCTCGAGGGACCTGACGGAACGAAACCCGTGTCCTCGGGGTCAGGGCGAGTCATAGCCCGCGCCCTCAGGGTCGGGCTAGATGGAGCCCACGTCCTCGGGGTCGGGCGCGACATAGCCCGCACCCTCGAGGTCGGGTGACCCGGATCCTGCGCCCCTGAGGTCGAACGAGATGGAGCCCGTACCCTCGGGGCCGGGTGAGACCAAGATATGCTCTTGACCATCCGAGGAAGTTAACATTTGCGGCCATCAGTAATCCTGATACCCGACAGATCTCTTGTATTCGTTTTTGATAAATCAATTGAAGTAGAAATATTTGACACGTTGGAATTCTTCTTAGAAATAATAGCTGAATCTTGAGGAGCCATGGGCTCATCACAACCCGACATTGGATTAATGGTTGAGAGTGCTCCAAAGTGTGTTTTCTCCTCTTTGCACGTGGCAAGACTAGGTGGGCATTGGGTGACCCAAGTGGGGGCGCGTCGAACCCACCAAGTGGGCCCTGACCTCCCTACCATGTCCACTTGCTTCTCCAACTTAAATTTGATGAATTTTGAACAAATTTGCTGCATTCGAATATTTTCAAGTAAAAGTGGAACTAGGTCATTTATAAACATTTATTTTCTACTTTTAATGTTGATTTACCTTCACTTTGGTGGAATGTTGATGATCATCATTGGTGTTTAGTGACCATCAACAATGATCAACATTGATTTACAATAGATAACAAAACTACTACCAAATAAGAAACAAAATGAGTCCGTCAAGATTCAAATAATTTCAAGCTACGGACCATAAGACAAAGCATGATTTTAGAAGAAAAATCAGAAAGTAGTTTCATAATTTTTGAGGTAAAACAAAATTTTAATGAATTTTTAAACTTAAAGAAAATTTTAAGATTTTTAACCGTGTTACTTTTCCATGTAAAATATTTGGATAAATTATTGCAAATTTACTTTTATGAATTTTTAGATATTTTTAAAAAATATTTCTAGTCCAATTTACTTCCCTGGACTTTGAACTTAGTCCGATTTAGAGATTGTGGCATTACATCATCAAAACCATTTAAGTTGCAAAAATAAATTGTTTTAAAAGTTGAAGAAGATCAGAAAAATAATGTGTAGTTTAGAGAGAAACGGAGGGAAATTAGTTCTTTTTCTAATAATAAAATAGTACGTTTGTACTTGTCACAGGCCTGCTGGGCCGCTGCAACCTAAGAATGCCAGTCTCGTCATCTCCACCGTCAGATGAGCCCACCCACCTGTTAATAAACCCTAACCCGCGGCCGCCGCCCCTATATAACTCGACGCCCCATGATTTTAGCTCTCCACTTAGGCTCTTCCCGTCGAGACTCAACCAGACCAGCGGCGGCGCTGGCTGACGAGGAGGTGGAGTAGAGCGGCCGGACTAACACGACATCGCCACCGCCACCATGGGTAGAGCTCCCACACCGTCATCTGCTTCTCGTTTTGCTTGCGCTGGCCTAGTGGCCGTGGTGGTGGTTCGGTTGGGGGCGGTGCTAACGGCGTCGCGGGTTGTTTCGGGTTTGTCCACGCAGGTATCTCGCGTGACTCGATGCACAAGCGCCAGGCCACCGGTGGAAAGCAGAAGGCATGGCGCAAGAAGCGAAAGTAATTGCTTGTCGTTTCTCTTCACTCCTTACATTTCGGTTGGTATGGGTATATCTGTAGATTTGCTAAGTGCTTTGCTGGGCCAGGGTTTGGGGTTGGTAGATTTGCATTTCCATCAATCGGTGTGTGGTTGCGGCGGTAGTAATTGATTTGAGTCATTCACTTGACTGGTTACCTTTACCTCCAGTGTTTTATGCGGTTCAGCCTTATAGATTACCCCTTCAATCCTTAAATCATAACGTGATGCTTCTAATGGAACAGCAAGCTACTTAAATTGTGGAAATGATGTATGTATTGTAATGAATTGTTAGAAGGATCACTGTGGTCAATATTATGTATCTTTCCGTTTGAGGTTTTAATTTGGAATCTTTATTTTGTGTTATTATTACTAGTTATTCTAGTAGTACAGTTGTGATTTCTATGATGTGTTGAGGCAGGATTGTTTGCATATCAGACGTCTCTTTTATATATAAAGATAAAGATTGGACATGTAAGTTTTGTTAATGTGAATGTGAATTGGTTCGGTCAGCTCATAGTGCAACTGCAAGCTAATAACTGTTGTATATTGTGTTAACCTTTTTACTTGGTTATTGTGAGTTTCAGAAGTTAATTCAAGATTCTCGTTTGTCATAAAGGTATGAGCTTGGCCGCCAGCCTGCCAACACCAAACTGTCTAGCAATAAGACAGTGAGGAGGGTCCGTGTCCGTGGAGGTAATGTGAAGTGGAGGGCTCTCTGCTTGGATACAGGTAACTACTCATGGGGAAGTGAGGCTCTTACATTCAAGACCCGCATCCTGGATGTGGTCTATAATGCATCAATCAATGAGCTTGTGAGGACTTAGACTCTTGTGAAGAGCGCCATTGTACAAGTTGATGCTGCTCCATTCAAGCAGTGGTACCTCACGCACTATGGAGTGGACATCGGTAGGAAGAAGAAGGCGCCTGTTGCCAAGAAGGATGCAGCCGAGGTATTATTCATGCAATTCAAGGTTTAATTGCTGTTTGCCCTTAGAATAGATTGAATTTAGGTTCATGTATTGTTGCATTTGGCGAATAGGTGCTTGCTAGATATCTTACTAATGCATTGTTTTTAACATGTGCATACTGTGTACCCCTAGCAGTTCTGTAGCTTGCAGTTTTTCAATGAATCTCTTCCTTTTATGACCAGCATGTTGTATTTCATCAGCTACTTTGTTTATGCTTGTTTTACATTTCTATGTGAAAAAACTGAAGTTACTATTTTGATTTTTGCAATCATTATCTTCTGATTCTTGGCGATAGTTTTTTTGGAGAAAAAACAATAGTAAATTAAATTTTCTTTCTGTTGCTCAACTGATAGATTAGGGGTAGCACCAATTGAAGAAAAGTTTGTCCAGTACCGGTTGAGATGGTTTGGACATGTCCAATGGAGACCTCTAGAGACACCGGTGCATAGTGCAATCCTAAGCCAGGATAGTAACGTGAAGAGAGGCAGAGGAAGATCGAAGTTGACTTGGGTAGAGGCAATAAAAGGAGACTTGAAAGGATGGAATATACCCAAAGACTTAGCCTTAGATAGGAGTGCATGAAAAACAACTATTCACGTGTTGGGTTGCAACTCTAGCCTACTCCAACTTGCTTGGGACTTAAAGGTTTTGTTGTTGTTGTTGTTGTTGCTGCCGCTCAACTGATGTTTCCTGTAACTGACCATTTATTGTTTGTGCAGGGGCAAGAGGGTGAGGCTATAGCTGGGGAAACAAAGAAAAGCAACCATGCGCAAAGGAAGCTTGAGAAGCGCCAGCAAGGGCGTGCACTTGACACTCATTGAAGAGCAATTTGGCAGTGGAAGATTGTTGGCTTGCATTTCTTCCCGCCCTGGACAGTGTGGCCGAACTGATGGGTAAGGAATACTGGATTTCTTTTGTGCTGTCTTAGACATTAATCCTCATTTTGTGTTTTGGTCCTCACCATATGCCATTAGCATATGGAATTGAGATATTGATGCCTGTGGATCTTATATGTTTGGGACTGCACTTCACAACTCTGCTACACAAACTTTCACCTGCTTAAGCTTATAGTTTCCACCTGAAACCCCTTTAGATGCTTTCATCTTTTATGTCAGCTAACCTACAGTGGCATTTGGTTGAAAAACATGGAGTGAGCAGCTCAAACACCCACTGAGGGTAAAGCAGCTGCAGCTATGCATTCTGTCACAATTGGACCATTTCACCTCGCTTAAGTAGATAGTTTCCACCTGGGACAGTTGCTGTCAGCTAACCTACAGTGGCATTTCCTTATATTGGCAGCTACATCCTTGAGGGTAAAGAGCTCGAGTTCTACATGAAGAAGCTCCAAAGGAAGAAGGGCAAGGGTGCTGCACCTTAGAGCATTCATTTTTAGTCCCTGTTCGTTTCGCTGAAAAAACAAGCCAAAATACTATTCCGGCTGATTAGTTGTGAGAGAAACACTGTTTCGACTGAAAAAATAAGCTGAAAAAGACGGATTATAAGAGAAGTGGCAGAATATCTTCTACTTGGGTTTTTCTTTTCATGTCATTTGCAGACCTGATGAATACTTTATAAGTGAATCAACTCGCTTCAAAGAATTGAGGATTTTCACATGCCGTGGTTGTAATTGTGATAGGTTTGCTGTTTATTGAAGCTTTCTGTCTAAAGCAGTTTTAGTTTACCTTGAACATGGTTGTTAGAAATGGAATTATGAGATCCTATCCAATCTCTAATGCTGTTTGGTTTTCACCTTATAGCTGCTAACATTTAACTAAATTTGTTTGCTATAGTAAGGTGGTGTTTGGATCCAGTGACTAAAATTTAGGAGGTGTCGGGAGGATATTGCATGGGATGTTTGGATACTAATAAAAAATAAATTACATAATCCTTCAGAACTCTATGAGATGAATTTTTAAGCCTGATTAATCCATCATTAGCACATGGTTACTGTAGCTAAGGATGAAAACGGAATGGAAATATCCTGAACCGAACCGCATTGTTTTCTATATTTAATCCGATCGAATCTGTATTTTTTTTGTTCGACTTTATCGTTTTCGCTTTCGTATTTGAGATGTTTCGTATTTCAAATGTAAAAGTAGAAAACGGTTTACACATTTTTCGACCGTTTTCTACTTTTCTACTTTTAATTTGAAATATTCCGAATTCAAAATTCGGTTTAAACCGAATTTGGCCAACTGCACAGGTCATATAGTTCAATTATAGGCTGCTCACCACGCAGCTGCGTTCTTTCTACTGGTGTCTAGCTGTCCTCTCTTATAGACGGTGTCCAGCCTCATCTCTCTTATTATGTATTTGGTCGTGCACTTGTTTAATGCTATGCACTTGAACTAGATCATGCACTTATTAGTTGTGAACTTGTTATGTATTTGATCGTGCACTTATTTAATGCTATGCACTGTGGGTCAATATTTCGTATTGAATTTTCGTATACCGATCGTGTTCGACATAATTCCGCTCGAATTGGTTTGTTTCCGAAATTCTAGATATTCCGTAAGTTCGTGTTCGTTTTCGTGTCCGGCTTGTCCGCTTTCGCTTTCGCTTTCGTATTTCAATGTAAAAGTAGAAAATGGTTGAGGAGTTTTTCGACCGAGTTTGACCGTTTTCATTCTTAACTGTAGCACCACATTGTTAAATCATGGACTAATTAGGCTTAAAAGATTCGTCTCGCAAATTAGTCTCAAATTATACAATTAGTTTCGTAATTAGTTTATATTTAATACTTTATGCATGTGTTCAAATATTCGATAGGACAGTGACTAAAATTTAGGAGGGGCAACCAAACACCACCTAAGAACTGGTGATGTGTCCGACAATATCTGTCATGAGAGACCTAACTAGAGTATTTTTTAGGAACACAGAATTTTATAGGACTTACTCCCTAACTAGAGGTTTTTTACAAAGTGAGGCTAACTTTTTTTTTACTATTATAATACAAAGTTTGGTTAGATTTATAATAAAATGTATTATTGAATTATTATATATTTATAAGTATAAACAATATAATATAAAAATAATGAAAGTGTAATTTGAAATATTTTGTTATGTTCAACTGTGCTTTATAAAATGTAACGGCGAGTTCGCTAGCACTGTGGCGGCTGATTTCCAGTGTACCTGCAGACATTTTGTGTCTTGCGCTGGCAGGCTGATTTGCAGTGTACCTACAACGCTGGCAGCCACAGCAGCCCAAACGGCTGGCTTCAAGTGCAAGTGAACAGGGTGGGTCCCCAAGCATTAACGCATCCACCGACGCTCATCTGGCCCTCGTTTAGTTCGGCCCGAATTTGGTAATAATTGTCTAAACGTTAACTAAGCTCAAAATGTTCGTCTCGCAAAGTACAACCAAACTGTGCAATTAGTTTTTGATTTCGTCAACATTTAATACTCCATGCATGTACCGCAAGTTTAATGTGACGGGGAATCTTCTTTTTGCATAGTGCCAAAGTTTGGAATTGGGGGTAACTAAACACCCACCTGGCCAATTTCTCTCCAACATTCATCTCTCTTTGACTCTCCCTCTCTTGTACACTCATATTAGAAAAACAGCGAAGAAAACATCGGAGATCCTGGCGGTGATCTGCGGTAGCAACTTGTGGTGCAGCGACGTCGGCGGAGCGGGGCGGAGGATCTGGTGTGGCGCCAAGTTCTCCCTTGAGGTCAACGGCGATCCGCCACCGCCGCCAACGCTACCAGGGATGGGGACATGCGCTGCAGCGGTCAAGGACTCGTGAAGGGTGATTAATCGGAGACGGAGAGAAGGTGCCACGCTAGAAGGTGAGTCATCAGTTCCTATCTCTTGGAAGATTTTTCGCATCCCCCAATCACCATGCGAAATGGCTTATTCCCCCAATCACCATGCGAAATGGCTTATTTCGTGTGTTTTTTCTGAGATTTTTGGTGGATATTTGAAGCGCATATCAAGAAGAGCTGAGGATTGAAGGGCATAACGGTGAGTACTCGATTTGTGTGTTTGGGGATTTTTTTACGCTTTGCTCATTCAATCTGACATCTGAATTATTTTTTGCTCCTCATGAAGAGAGGCATAGATCAAGAGGAGCAACGCTTAGCAAATTGAGTACTCGTTTCATGTTGATGGAGATTGATTTCACGAACACTTCCTGCTTAAGCAGATCATCTAATATTCTGTTTGTTGTTTTCGAATTTTCTGTGGCGAGGGAAGTTCAAATCAGTGGTTGGGTGACGACAAGCTTGGAGGAGATGCTGCATCCAGTCATATAGGGTTTAGTTTAGTAAGTTATGAATTTGATTAGTTGATTAATCACTGTATGAAGCATTGGCTTATATAATAACCTTTGTCGATTTGAATCAGAGCTATTTGTTCATTTCCAGTTTTCCAACTCCCAGTCGTAGCTTCATATGTTCAGCGAAAACTCAAAGCCAGTACGGGCGGCAGATCAAACACCATTTCTATTCAGCTAAGATTCTTATGACTCTTGCTGATGTTTCAACGTAGGCGCCATTTCTTTGATTGCATTATCTCAGCGTTCCATGGCATAACAGGACATAAATAGATATGTTAATTTTGTTGCATTATACATTCCCTATCCTATTTTACTTTAGCCAGTGATGCAGGTACGTTGATAACTGTTTATTAAATAGCATTTTAAAGTTTTAGCTAAAAAACATTGCAAACCTTATAAAAATTACATTGCTTGACACAACATGGAATAAAGAGCTATATTAATGTTGTTTTGGCCTACATGCCTTAATATTTTAATTTGCCACCTTGTGTAGCTTTTGGATGATAATATTGTTTCTACGGGTGCAGTCACAAGGGTTGGAAGGCCTATGTAAGTGTCTTCTTTGGATTTGGATTTGCTTGCTTTTATGGGTTGGCGCACCTCCAATTACTTCTGGTTTAACTACAATGTCTATGTAAGTAAGCTCTATCTATTTAGATACGGGCTTTGCTATAGTACTCTCACATGAATATGAGCCCTTAGTTTAATTAGATCGAACAGCTAGAATCATCTCCTACAACTAAAAAGAACAAAGTGTGGCCGTCCCTTGCGATAAAAGAAACAAATCTCCGTCTTCAAAGTAAAACACCGCCTCGACGCCTCCACGAGAAAGTATGGGTACCTCTCCTCCATCTCCGCCTCCACCTTTTGCTTCTACTTCCACGCCTTTTCCTCTCCCCCGCTTCCCCTCCGCCAACGCTGTGCCGCCCAGTTCGGGGAAGGATACGGCCACCAGGCGCCGACCGGTGGGGACGCACGCAGATGCAGGTGTGCGAAAGCCCCTGTCGGCGGCTACGTGCGTGGATTAGCAGGAGGTGGGCCTTGTGGCAGAACCGCATAATCTAATACCTTCCAGGAGTACTTGTCTTCCATTAGACACTAAGTACTCAAGGGAGAGTACCAAATTACCCGGTTCCGCCGAGCACACCCCAAGGGAGAACACGAAAATCCACATTTTTCCATCAGGATCGTAAATGAGAGAATAAAGCTTACATCATTCTTAACCATTTCTTACATCACTTTCTATGTAACATCAGAGTATAATATTTATCATTTATAATAGCAGAATATGAACATGTGATCAGAGTTATGAACAATTTAAGTTAACAGCGGAATATAAACATGTGATCAGAATTACAGCGGAAATAAATATCTATTCATGACATGATGAAGCATTGATATATAAACTATGACAATAGATTATAAAACTTCCATTTATACAAACATTTAGGGAGAATTATAAATAAAAACTATGATCACAGCATAAAGAAAATCCTCTCTGAGCCCAACAGGAGGAATCAACACACAAAGGTCAGCTCTAG